TCGTCTGAGTCCTCTCCAGAGTCTCGGACTGATCCCCTTTCTTCTCCACTGTCTGATTCCGCTGCCATCTGCACAGGCTGCCGGTGAACCACAACAGCAAGCAGCGCTCGTAAGCGCTCCCATATAAAACTCCATTTGTGTGAATGGTGTGCGTGCGTGCCCACCACTTGTGCAAATGGAACTGCATGCAAGCACGCACACACGTCTGCCACTTGCACAGAACCCTCCCCTCTTCCCGCCTTGGCCCACCAAGCCAGGAAGTTTGAGGACCCCTGGTATAGGGTCTCCTGCTTGAGCAGAGGGCTGGACTAAAGGACCTTCAGAGTCCCTTCCAACTCTGTTGTTCTCTTCTATTCTGAAAGGTCAGATTGTCAGGTTCACAGAGTCATCTCTGAAAAGCTGGACCTAGGAAGGTCACAGAAGGTATAAATAACTATGTTTCCAGGCCCAGGATTTATTTATTTTTTTAACTTAAGCTTTTCCTCGCCAGCATTTATGAAGCAGATTTGTTTTAATGCCACTTTATGCTATTTGATTATCATTTTGTTTTTGGAAGAAACTTTTGGGGTTTCTACAAAGAAAGGGAGGGAAGCCCCATCAATATACGTACATATTTCTCTCCTCTAGAGATTTTTCTCTTTCTTCAATTCTCTAAATTTAAGTTTCAAAAGAAGAAACATGCCAGAGTTGACAAGACATCTTTCAACTGCACTGAGATCGCTGAGAAGCTCTCCTTTTCTCAGTCATATTTAAATTCATGGAAAATACGATCTCGCACACATTAAGCATTGTACAGAAATGAGGTAGGAGAGAATTCACCGATTTAAATGTTTCTATGGGAGTAGATGCAGTTTTAGATTGGGGTGGACAGATACAGGTAGCCCTTGACTTAGGGCCACAACTGAATTCAAAATTTGTGTTAGGGTAGAATAGAAAGGAATAACAGAGTTGGAAGGGACCTTGGAGGTCTTCTATCCAACCCCATGCTTAGGCAGGAAACCCTATAAGCATTTCAGACAAATGATCATCCAATCTCCCCTTGAAAGCTTCCGGAGATGAAGCTCTCACAACTTCTGAAGGAAACTTCTCTTCCATTGGTTGATTATTCTCACTGTCAGAAACAAATTTCTCTTTATTTTCAGGTTGAATCTCTCAAATAATAGATAACAGATAATCAGAGTTGGAAGGGACCTTGTAGGTCATCTAGTCCAACCCCTCACACAAGCGGGAGACCCTACACCATTTCTGACAAATGGCAGTCCAATCTCTTCTTGAAAGTCTCAAGTGGTGAAGCTCCCACAACTTCTGAAGGCAAATTCTGTTCCAAGGGTTGGTTGTTTTCACTGTCAGAAAATTCTTCCTTATTTCCAGGTTGAATTTCTCCTTGTTCAGTTTCCCTCCATTCTCCCTTCTCTGGCCTTCAGGTGCCTTGGAAAATAGCTTGACCCCTTCCTCCTCTCTGTGGCCGCCCCTCAAATATTGGAAGACCGCTATCATGTCTCCCCTGGTCCTTCTCTTCCCTAGACTAGCCAGGCCCAGTTCCCGCAACTTTTCACTGTATGTTTGAGCCTCCAGTCCCCTAATCCTCTTTGTTGCTCTTCTCTGCACTCTTTCTAGAGTCTCAACATCTTTTTTACATCGTGGGGACCAAAACCGGGTGCAATATTTCCGTTAAAGAGCACGAGTTCTCTCCCCCCCTGCTCGCACCCGTTTTAGAGTGACGCTGCGGTTCAAGATCACTGACTAAACCCCTCTATACTCTTGCAGGCTTTATACCGAGACAGCCGATAAAGAGGCTCATTAAATGGAAACAATTCCTCATTTTCCAGCCATGGTTCTAGACTCAGGGGTCCCACATCATTACAGTCTCTTCTCTGCCATCAGGCCATAACCACGTCACTCCCCATCAACTTCAATGTCTGGCAAGTGCAAAGATGATCGAGAATGACATTCCTCCCCCGGCATCGTGAAAAACGTCAAATCCACAAGTCATCTTCAGCCGTACGCAAGCTGGCTTCCGTTCATTCCCAATTAGCGCTTCCTCTACCATAAATCAATCCCAGGCGAGTATCAGTTAAGACCCAGCCAACAACCTTAGAATCCAAGCATATTCAACAAGGAATGCCGGGAAAAACCGACACGTCTCATATTTGGGCAAATGTAGCTTTTGTCAAATTCCACGAGGGGAAGGAGAGCAGGAGTGTGCGTAACAACAGAAGGACAGCAAAGCTTCCACTGAGAGAAAGGAAGAGCTGTTCCAGGATTCCTGAATTTGATGACAGCCCTCTGTCAAACAATGGGCTCCTTCCAGCCTTCAGCACCGTTTTTTTTTTGTTTTTTTTTGAGATTTACATCAGATTCTTCAGAAAGAGGATCTACTGTCTAGCCACCAAATGACTGTGAAAGGCCACGTGGCCTGCAGATCGTTTCTCAAGAATTGGCCAGTGTGGCACATTTCATCCCCTTTGAGACTCTTAAATCAGAAGTGTTAAACTCAAGGCCTGGGGACAGGATCCGGCCCACGCGGTGCTTAGATCTGGCCCACGTGTGTTGTGGTCCGCCGGCAGCCGGTGCAGATGGCAGCGGAATCAGACAGTGAGGAGGAAGAAAGGGGACCAGTCAGGGAGTCTGGAGAGGACTCGGACGAGGGTCCTGCGTCCGATGCAGAGATGGGGCCAGGACCATCTGGGAGTGGGGTGCTGACTCCGGAGCCTTCGGAGTCTGGCAGCAGCGAGGCCGAGGATCCAGGGGAGCCTGTTCCCAGTGCACAGAGCTGCTAGAAGACAAGAGCAGCTGAAGCAGAAGGGGCGACTCTGGAGTAAGGCTGGGAGGTGATTGCCTCTCCCATAAGGGATAAAAGCCAGACCTCAATGATGAAACCTTTGCAGGAAGCAAAGAAATTCGATCAGCTCCAAGTCCTCCTTGAAGCTCTGTGTACTTTGGTTTTTTTCTTGTACTTCGGTTGGTTTCTTTTATAATTAACTGGATACTTCTGTTTTTGGCAGCATTCCACAGAACTGAAAGGTGTGTGCTTATCTTGGGGAACTGTTTAATATTAGTTCTGGCTGGGAATGAAAACAATTCCCAGCGTTGCAATAAAATGGGTTTTGCTTTTAAAACAAGTTTGTGATTAATTACGTTTGACGAAGCCTGGGTCAGACCAACATGGCTGCCTTGGAAACAACACAGGATCGGCCCCCGGTGCCTCTGCTGACGAAAATGGATCTTGCTAGGGCTACGGAGGGCCCTCTGGAGCTCTGTTTTCACTGGCAGAGGGTTGCAGGAGGCCATCACAGGTGAAAGTGGAGCTTGGGAACCCGTTTTCGCTGGCAGAGCACTCAGGCCACCAAAGGCACCCCTGACATGAGTGACATTGAGCTGGCCACGCCCCCTGGCCACGCCCCCCACCAGGTCAAACACAACCCTGATGCAGGACTCAATGAAATTGAGTTTGATAGCCCTGCTCTAAATCTTTCGAGGTACTAGCTTCAGAGTCAACAAATCATTGAAAAAAAGAGATTCCCTCAAAGAGAAGTAATTCAACTCAGTCAAGTTTGGGACCAAAATGCAGGTAGTCCTTGACTTACAACCACAACTGAGCCCCAACATTTCTATTGGTAAGCGAGACAGCTGTTAAGTGAGTTTTGCCCCGATTTTACGACCTTTCTTGCCACCGTTGTTCAGTGAATCACAGCAGTTCTACCATTAGGAACGACGGTTGTTAAATGAACCTGGCTTCCCCATTGACTTTGTTTGTCAGAAGATCATAAGAGACCCTGGGACGCTGCAGCCATGCACAGGCCAGTTGCCAAGTGTCTGAATTTTGATCACGTGGCCCTGGGGATGCTGCAACTGTCGTAAGTGTAAAAAAATGGTCATAGAGGTCACTTTTTTCACCGCTGTTGTAACTTCAATGCTCACTAAATAAACTTGCTGTAAATCGAGGATTACCTGTACTAGGTTTTAGAGAAGACAAATCATTGAAAAAGAGATGGAATGGGAGAACTCGCTGCAACCAATCCACCCCGGCCATCTCATTGCGGCCAATCTGGTGTGTCAGCCTTGGAAGCCATTTTTTTTACACTTGGAAGCTTTCAGGCTGCCCCATTCAGCGCCTGGGAATTTGGGAGGGGGGATTTCACGTAGAGATAGAAGTTTAGACTCAACAACATTCTTCTCAGATAGTCAAGGACAGTTTGCCCTGCACCTGGAGGGAAGTGACTGGAGGGATGTCTCCAGCGGGGATGAAGATTGGTCCATGTGATGGACTGAGGGATGCAGGGGGTGGATCGTTGATTTTCTTTTGAGAAGGGAAAACCTGGAACTCTCAGATTCGGGTTTTTCCAGATGGGCCAATAGGACAACTCTAATAAAATGGAACTTTGAAGATATGTTTGTCTTGGAGTTTATGGGGTTGGAGTTGGTTAGTTGGAACACTGACATGATGAGGATCAGTGGTGGGATTCAAACATTTTTACTACCGGTTCTGTGGATGTGGCTTGGTGGGTGTGGCAGAAGGTTACTGCAAAATCCCATTCCCTCCCCACCCCACTAACCTGCTTTCCAGCTCCCTTCTCCTGTGCAGGGCAACCAAAAGAGACACCAGCTGATCAGCTGGGACACAATGGGAGGCAGAGAAGAGATGGGGGTGGGGCCAGTCAGAGGCGGTATTTGCCGGTTCTCCGAACTACTCAAAATTTCCATTACTGGTTCTCCATAACTGGTCAGAACCTGCTGAATCCCACCTCTGGTGAGGATATCTTACTGCAGGACAATACCACGTGGGATAATAAGTGTTATCCACCACCGTTTCTTCAACGTTATTTTCACTGAAAATAGTTGGCCGCGGAGATTTGATCATGGCAAGATGGCCACAGTAAGCTGTCTTAGACCCAAAAACAGATTTCCCCAAAAGAGGAAAACGTCAAGTTTCGGATTAATGTAAGCCTTAAAGGTTGTTGGGTTGTTGTTTTTTTTGCTCCTCTGAGCAATGTTCTTACCTGTCCTTCTCCGACCATCTCAGTATCAATAACAGTGACAATTCCAGGGACCAAAGGGCTGCGTCGGCTATTGGTGTGTGCCAAGACTTCTTCTTCCGCGGCTCCTGATGGCGAAGTGCCTGTCAGCTGGGTTACCACTTTTCCAACCATGGTGAGCCCAGTTTTGATGGTCTGTTAAATAAGCAGACAGACAAACAAATAAATGGCAGATAACACAAAACTCATTTTAACCACTGTACCTTACTTTGATATGCAAGTCCTTCATCAAATGCCCACCACAGCAAAAGCTGAAACGTGTCATGTTTCTAAATGGAATGACTTCCGATATAAGTAAAATGTGCAACAAGAAAAACAGAATATAGTAAAAGGTGTTAAGATTGTTAACCAGCATCAAGTACTTTATCCATATATGTAAGTGTGTATGTGGAGAGAAAGAGGGTTGGATAAATGATAGATATGGATGGATGGATGGATGGATGGATGGATGGATGGATGGATGGATGGGTAGATAGATAGATAGATAGATAGATAGATAGATAGATAGATAGATAGATAGATAGATAGATAGAGTAGATATGGGTGGGTAGGTGGGTGGGTGGATGGATGGATGGACAGACGGACAGAGAGATCCTCACCCTCCTCTCCACAAACCACACTCCCTTCTAGCACTGATGATGTTACCTAGTTTGGCTCATGAAGCATCTTCAAGGAAACAATCAAGCTCAGAGAGCACCAAGGACCCCTCACCATTCACATTTTCATGCTGCAATTTATTTATTACAACAGGGACAGGAGATTTGATGCCATCCAGTGGTTTTGGACTCCAGCTGCTCCTAGCTCCTACCAGGGTGGCCAATGCAAGAGATTGCAGGAGTTCCTGAAGCACCTGGAGGGAACCCACTGTGCTTTTCCTGCGCTAAACTGAAATCAGTCTTCAAGTTGAACCTCTATTTCTACATTCCACAAAATGTAAAATGTCTTGATTAGGAGGAAATTGGATGCATCTCATCTCTCACATGCATACATTCAAGCAGCCAGAATGCAAGTACCGATGCACCAGCCTACACATGGCAATTAATTTTCAAACTGTGTTTCTGCTGATCTCCCTTGTGACTTTCAGAGTCAATAGAGGACAGGGATACCGCAGAACAAACCAATCAGATACAGCCAGGGAGGAAAGAATCAATCCGTTTCCTGCTGTTGCGCTCCATTTAAGGGACGTGCATAAGTGCACCATGGTGCCTCCCGTCCCTGTCCTATGGTCCCCATTTAATCGTACCTATTTTCTGTATTCTTACTCATGTTTATACTTATACCTATTACTTTGTAAGCGGTTGGCAAATCAAATAAATAAATAAAATAAAAATAAATTTCCATTTCCTCGTTAATCTTATTTTTTTTTTAAAAAAAAAACGTCTTCACAAAAATCCACATGGAAATATCCTTCCTCTTATTTTCCCTCAAGATATTGACATCTACCTGCAATTTAATATTTCCTGAGCTATGAATTACACTGGAAGATAGAGGTAATTCCAGTTTGGTCTAGTACTGGTTAAGGAACAAGGCTAGAAAGCGGGAGGTCCTGAGTCTCTTGCCTTGCCTTAGGCATGAAAGCCAGAAGGCTGACTTTGGCCCAACCACCAAGAAATGGTGTGTTCTAGTTCCTCCAACTGATCCTGGCACAGGATAAAGAGAGACAGTTTGGTCTACCCTGTTTCCCCGAAAATATGACCTACCCTGAAAGTAAGTCCTAGTTTGATTTTTACACATGTGCCCAATATAAGCCCTACCCCCCAAATAAGCCCTAATTAAGATCCCGTCCACTCCAGGGTGCATGGGTAAAAATTAAGCCAGGGTGGTGGTGGGGGGGTGGAGCTGCTCTACTACTTACCTTTGGACAGTTGCAGCCAAGCCTCGCACACCACAACACCTGCCCAGCCAGCCCATTTCTTCTGCAGCCGGCAAGGCTGGCCTGGCTTTCCTGAAGGCCTCTGGAGCTGAGAGCAAAGCTCTGGATCGATCCAGAGCTCTGTTATCGGCTGCAAAAGGCCTTCAGGAAAGCCTTGTCAGCTGCAGAAGAAGGAGTTCCTGAAGGCCTCTGACAGCGAAAAGGAAGCCGGGGCAACACACCCAAGTGAGGTTAGTCAGGGGATGACTTTCCCAAAAAATAAGACCTGGTGCCTTTTTGGGTGGTTAAAAAAATATAAGACAGGGTCTTGTTTTCAGGGAAACACAATAGTGGTTAAGGCACCAATCTAGAAAGCAAAATACTGGGAGTTCTAGTCCTGCCTTAGTCATGAAAGCCAGCTGGATGACTTCGGGCAAGTCACGTTCTCTCAGCCCAACCCACCTCACGGATAGTTTTTCAGGAGTGGGGAAACAGGAAGAGGAAAGAGTATTAAGTATATTGAGTTTAGGATGATTAAAGGCCTGGAGACTAAACCATACGAAGAACGGTTACAGGATTTGGGTTTGGGTTTGGCTAGTCTAAAGAGCAACAAAAATGATTCGGAGACTGGAGGTTGAAACATATTTTTAAAAAGTTGCAGGAATTGGGGATGTTTACTTTAATGAAAAGAAGGACCAGGGGAGACGTGATAGCAGTAGTCCAGTATTTGGGAGGTTGCCACAAAGAAGAACCACAGCGATTCACTTAGCAAATGTGGCAAGGAAAGTCATAAAATGGGGCAACGTTCACTTAACCAACCTCTCGCTTAGCCAAATCGATTTTTGGGGGCCTCCACTGCAGTCGTAAGTTGAGGATTACCTGCATAGTGGTAGCATCCAACGAAACTCCCTGTTCAGATTGGAAGGTTGTGGGGGAGGAGAAACCCAATCTTGGGGCTGCAGCCGAATCCACAAATCGATGGCAACGGCCATTGTTTAGTGCTAAAACCTCAAACTGCAGTGATTAGAAAACACATTACTGTTCATCAATTAGCAGCCCAGCATTTGCCTTCAATTATTCATGGGGAAATGACTGAGGCACAAGACTCAGGCTGGTGTGTTGTCAGGAAAACCTCGGCCGAGCCAACAGAACCAGGCGCCATTCGGTATTGACGGCACCGATCCAGCCAGGAAGCCTGATTAACCTCCGAGATGCCTCACTTGATGTACTTACTCCATTAATGCTAATGGAGATGCTACCACTTAAAGAAAAAAAAAGAGACAGAGAGAGAGAGAGAGAGAAAGAAAAAGAAAAACCCATTGTCGAAGCCAGCCAAATCTTTATCAAAGGAGAGGTCGCTGGGTTTTTAACATCTCTTAGCAATAGACACATCCTGTCCTTTGGGTTTTGTCCCTCCCACTCCACCCTCCGCCCTTTTAAACTCTCCCCAGAAGTGGAAGAAACAGAATCCTTAAACAACTGGCACACGGTCAGCTTCTCAGAAAACACACATACACACACACACACACCACATCCGACAAGCATACTTCGTGTTCTCAGCCTCTGTTGGGCCAGATCATGGGGGGGACGGACCCTCTCCCATTTTCTGTGTTCTTGAATTTGGATCAGGCTGGAATTTTGTGAGCAGCATAAATCGGGACAAAGAAAATGAGGGGACTGGAGGCTAAAGCAAATGAAGAAGGTTGCGGGAATATGCCTAGTTTAATGAAAAGAAGGACTGGGGGGAACGTGATAGCAGTGGTTCAGTATTTGAGGGGTTGCCCCAAAGAAGCAAGGGATGGAAACGAATCAGGGAGAGAAGCAACCTGGAACTAAGGTGAAATGTCCTGAAGTTATGGAGTTAGAAGTCTATGGAGATTCTCAGTCATTCAGGTCATGGTTGTCCCAAAGTTGCTTTTTCAAGAGGCCACTGGACTTTCTGGTTTTTCTTCGAAGACGTTTTGCTTCTCATCCAAGAAGGTTCTCCAGCACTGAGTGGATGCGGGGAATGGAAGGATTTATATTCCTTGCAGGCAGATGGTCATTTGCATCCTTTTAGAGAGGCTGATATGATCAGGTGACCCCGAGGACACAGATAAACTTCCAAGTGGCCCCAACCACTCTCAAAATGGATGCAAATGACCAGCTGTCTGTAAAGAGTATAAATCCTTCCCTTCCCCACCATCCAGTCAGAGTGGAAGAAGCTTCCTGGATGAGAAGTGAAACGTCTTCAAACAAAACCCCAAAAATCCAGTTGTCTCATGAAAAAAGCACCTTTGGGATTCACACTTAGGACAAATAACCAGGTCTACAGAATTAACCGATGGCCTCTAGAAGCTGTAGGTGCTCCATCACTGGAAGTTCATCAGGGGAATGGGTTGCTTCCGGAAATTGTGGGTGCTCTGATGCCTTTTAAGAAGAGACTGGACAACCATTTGTCTGAAATGGGCCCCCTACTTGAGCAGGGGTTTCGACTAGAAGACCCCCAAGGCCCTTTCCAGCTCTATTCTGATTGATTGAGAATGGTCGTAAGTCGAGGGTTTCTTGTATAAGCAATGGAAGCATTTCACTTAGATTAAAAGAAAGACCCCACAAATGAAAGTGGTGGTGGGGAGAAAGCAGAGAGATAGCAACAGGACAAGGGTTTAAAACAAATATTGAGACTTTTTAAGCGGAAAAATTGAAGACCTGGTCATGAAAAGGCTTCACTGTAGGCACCAGGCACCTATTGGGCCTGTGTAAATCATTCAGTAAGGCAGCCTGGTTGAAGATGTCTTCCACACTTGTCCACGCTTGCCCAGAAGACTTTAGGAGGAACTTGGGAAGGGTTGGGCAAAGCTTTGGAGCAGCTGGGACGGCCTCCCGGCTTCAAGGCAGAGATTTACAGAGGTGTTTGGCTAACAGGCCCAGCAGCCTTCAGAGAAAAAAAAGTGTATTTTGCAGATGGACTCAACTTTGAATTAAGTTCAACCAATATACACAAACTCACACTTAAGAATGGGAAAACGGGACCGACACGAAGATGCTCACTTTAAAGATGGAAGAAGTCGGGATTGATTATAGGTACTGAAGATTCATTCCCCCAAAACTGCCATAATTATCCTGACAATGCATTCTTGGGCAGGTGATGGCTGCAGAATGGTAGGGATTGTTCGGTCACTAAGTGTGTCTGATTCTTCTCAATCCCATGGACCACAGGACACCAGGGCCCCCCTGTCCTCTGCTATCTCCTGGAGTTTTGCCCAAATTCACATTCATTGCGTCAAAGAGGCCATCTAACCAT